ACCGGTCCGCGGCGGGCACCGGTGACTAGCGATGGGCCCGCTCGGCCCTGCGCGCCGCGAGCTTTCGAGCAACTGGGTCGTGAGCGAGCTGACATTTCGTTCTTGGATATTGTTACCGCGTCGTGTGCCTCGCCGTCGAAGAGATCCGCCTCTGTATTAGATAATGGATGATTGGAGTCGGTATTAATTGAAAATAGACGTTAATGACGGTGTGGTTTTGTATTTAGGATGGATTTTGTGAGGTTCATTTGAGAGATTCGCGGATTGATGGAATGTGGAGGCGTTTGTGAGATGTTGAATTTGAATTTTGAAGCATTTTGGATTGGTTATTGGATTCGGTCCTCCGTTGTATTTGATAGGATGATTGGAATCGGTATTAATTGAGGATAGAGATTGATGACGGTGTGATATTGTATTTAGGACGGCTTTTGTGAGGTTGATTTGAGAGATTCGCGGATTGTTGGAATGTGGAGGCGTTTGTGAGATGTTTCTTTGAATTTTGTAGCATTTCGAATTGTCTATTGTATTAGATCTTCTCGAACCTCCGTTGTATTAGATAAGACAATTGAAATCGGTATTAATTGAAAATAGAGCTTGATGACAGTATGATTTTCTTTGAATATTTCGGATAGCTTTAGTAAGGTAGATTTAAGAGATTCGTAGATTTTTGGTGAGTTTTCTTTGAATTTTGAAGTATTTCGAATTGATTATTGGACGCTTAGATATACTATCCTATTGCCTAGTTTATTTCCTCCTGGATTTTTGATCGTGAATATTGCTTCCGAGTCGAGTAATCGCTAGTCGTCAAGTTAGCACGAACGTCTCCCAATATCCTCGAAGCCATCGCTACCACCTAACTCGTCAGCGACCGGGAAAGAGAAATACGAACGGAAAGAGACACGGTGGAAGGGATGGGAGAGGGGAATAGGTCAGAACGAAAAGAAACGCGAGAGCGGAGAACCTCGAGGAGCAGAAAGAAACAGGAATAATCTTAACGGAGGTAAAACATGGCAGACGGGCAGGATCGGCAACGCGATCTACGCGATTGCCGTTGTCTAAGGATCGGACCGTCGCGGATCGAACTTCGATACCCGGAAGGCGGTCGTAATTCGATCGAGAAAGTGCGAGAGGTTCAATTAAACCCGTGAATTACGATTCCTCGTATGAATCTCCCGGCCGGCCTACGCTCGATCGTTGCACAAGCCGATCTAATCGATTTCCTCTGGAGAAACTCTCCCAGGACACTTTTCCCTCTTCCCCGGTTCATTAATTCCGTCGGTTAATAACGTCGTGGAAACGGCGCGATGGACTTTCATGACGGCTCAAGGACGGAAACTGGAGCCTTCCCATCGAAAGCGTTCGCCGGAGCCTATCGACCATCGAGACGCCAGCGATCAATCGAGAATTCTATCGACATTCTTACCTAAAACACTCCCCTCTCTATCCTCCCTTGTTTCAATGCTATTAAAAATCAAACTATTAAAAATCTCCGATCATAGACGAGTATGCTAAACACGAATTACCATCGGGATCATCGTAACTTACACAAAGGTCTCTGGATCCTAAACAAACCCGAACGCCGAGGACAAGAAAAGAAGCTCCGACCGACACAATCGACATAGAAATCTGCCTGTCGGGTTCATAAAGTATCGTCGACCACTAAATATCGTCGTGCATGCGTCGCCGCGTACGCTTCACAGTGTTCCGCACAATTGGCCGTGTCACTACGGCCGGGGGCAGGTGAATTATGCGCGGACGATGCGCGTAAGACAATGAACGCGTCGAACGATCCTCCGGCGGGGGTTCCCGGAGGGGTCGCCGACGAAAGTTCAGATTCCGCGTGTGTCCCGGAATCGTCTGGGAAGCGTCTGATGAAGTGCTCCCCGAGGGCCGGCCGGCCGGGAGAAAAAAGGGGGCACGCGTTAAGGAATGCCGAGGAGAAATTAAAACGCGGAGCACGATAATGGAATGCGAGCGTGCCAGCTGCGCGTGCTGCGACGCTCGCCCGGCTGAGACAGGGTGAATTCTTAATAGGGCGAAGCCGCTCGAAGAAGATATCGCCGGGCGCAACGAGACAGAGAACGCTGGAGGGAATTGCATTAGCTTGTCACCTATGAAATCCTCGTTTCCCGGGGCGATTTAGCGGCCGAGAGTTGCCGTCGACGACTCCCCGGGCGAACCGTTTGACGTCTTTCGGCCGTTTCTTCGATTCCCAACGAACCTTTAACAGTTTCACGCTGCATCCGCGTCGATTCGACGGATATCGAATGTTTCGATTTATAAACACGTTTTCTACCAATAGAACAATGTGTAGAACAAACGTGAAGCTAGTGTTATATTTGATGAATCTGCAGATGATGATACCTAGGTCTAATTAGAATCTTTACTTATCCTGCAGATTCGAACAGATTTTTCAGAAATATAAAAGTACGCAGAATAATCGCGCTACCTAAACTCCCACGCGGATTAGATATATTTTACGGTTCGGAGTTTACAGTTTGGATAGCTGGTTTTATAGTGCGGATACCTTTCCTCTCTTTTATAATTCAGACGCCATTCCCTCTTTCCGTGCCGCCTTCATGGAAAAACGGGATTACGGAACGAGTGGGTACAATATCGAGCGAAATCGCTAATTGGACGCGATTCCGTAGAAAATTCCTGGTTTCCTCTATCGCGAGGCCAGGATAACGCGAAGAAGTCGTCGCGCGGGTTAGGTGGAACCGATGTTTAGGCCTCGAGTGCTCGCGAGATCTGGCAGGAGCATTAGAGTCGAGCATCGTTCGAGATGAGCGTCGCGGAACGCGCGCTAAGAGGTTCGGAATCGTCGCGGGGGAGGATCGAGGCCAGGGAGGATCGACCAGGAAACGCTTTCAACGCTCCGTCGGGACGATTGCGAGGGAAACGGTGGTTCGGATCGAAACCGACGCGCCTCGATCCTTCCTCGAACGTTTCCGCACGTGAAATCGGCGCCGCCGCGCATCAATCACTCGACGCGCGCCTCGACAGCGTGTGTAGTCGGCCGCGGACACGATAAGTTTCGCGGTCCTTCTAATTGAGATGAATGCCCGATTTGCCGGGGGGATGGTCGAATCGGGAGATCCCTGGCCGCGATACGTCCTTCGCCGTTTAGCGAAGACACCGTCGACGAGCAATTGCGATAAGGAATATTCAGTGTTTGACAAGATCGATTGTATCATTTTCGAATTGATTGAATGATGTTCGGAATTTAGGTGTTGTAGGAACAATGGATGAGAGTTCGTAGACTTGGAGGTATTCTGTATAATTGGTTCGAATTGTTCTCTTGCGTTTTCATTTGAGAATATCGATTGTATTATTTTGGAATTGATTGAATGATGTTCTGAATTTAGATGTGTTTTAGAAACAGTAGTTAAGAGTTGGTAGACTTGGAGGTATTCTGGAAATAGTGCTGATAATGGATTCGAATTGTTCTGTTATCGTTTCATTTGAGAAGATCGATTGTATCATTTTGGAATTGATTGGATAATGTTCTGAATTTAGGTGTGTTTTAGAAAAAGCAGATAGAATAGAAATTGACGGATATTGAATATTTTAACCATTGCAATACTCTGGATTTGAAGCTGAAATTGTCGCGATTTATATAGACGAACGTGTAATTTTCTGGGACAATAGATTAAAATGTAGAATACACGTCTGTAAATCCAGTTTTAATTATGCGCATATAATATGAGGTGCGGGATAATGTGGAAGATTAATGTAGAAGGTAAATGATTCAATTTATTAGATTAATCTGTTAATCTATTTATTAAGAACTTCAGACTGCTGGTAATATTGTAATATCCTATCTATTAACGGTAAATGATGTCATTAATTAGTACTATTAATATGAACGTTGAATTTTCATTTTAAATCTCGTGTATGTAGGTCCGTAGACTATATTTACGTCCTACAGCATATAATCGTGTCGTGGATTTCCTTAATACGACCACATCGAGTTGAATTATATAGAGAATAGCATTAATCATCTTAAACGATTAGACTCTTCCCTCGCGATCGATCTAATCGAGAGTTAACGGAGAATCCGCGCGAGTCTAAATGTAATAATGTCAATGCACAGCAACGCGGACCGCGAATGACAAGCTTAATTATCGATTATCGAAATAGACAGAACCGAGGCATCGATCAGAAGTCCGATATTCTCCTCCGGTGATTATTAACGAATCAAAACTGCAGGTCGCCGGTCAATAAATCAATACTCGATTAAGAATTCATTAGAAATCCCAGCAACGTCGCTTTTAAAGTGATTATCGAGCGTATCTCGTGCACAGATTGTTAATGAAACGTGTTAAGAACACAGAGGAACGCACCGGTGTGTTGCAACCATCGGCGCGCCGGTACAGAACGAACAGATGAATCATGGATTATTTATGAGAGATGATTAATATACGAAGGAATTGATTGGATTCACGGTACTCACGTGATACTGCTTCGCGCAGAACCGAGCCTGAAGACATTTCAGCACCGCGTCCTCCGTCAGAGGGCCAGGCAGGTGAATGAGGTCGTCCAAGGCCGTGGAGGTTGCGGGCCCGGAAGTGGCCGTGGTCCCTTTCGGGAGACATCGATGCTGGCCCTGGTTGGTCTTCGCGTTCTTCACATCGGCGATGATGCTGGAGATCGGCGGCGATCGCAAACAGCCCAGGGCCGTCACGCAGGACACTATGCCGTCGTCTGGAATGCCGTTGTGACGTTTCGGCGGGTCCAAGTCTGCGCAGAATCATCGTGCCAATGTCATTCGCTTACTTTCCTCATACTAATAAATACAACATTGTAATGTAAACATTAATGACTGAATTTAGATATAAATATCGTTTCTTTTGTAGACGGTTCGCCCTTTTGCGTGTCGATACTTGGGGGCCCGAGATATAGACCAGGCCCATTGACTAATTTATTTTAATAGCCCTACACTTTCATACTGATTCAAGGAAATTTATTTAGCTGCGAGGTTTTCCTGTAATGAACGTAACTTTCTTTGATTCCAGGGAATAATCGAATCGCATATAAGCTAATGTATTAATAAATTATTGTTGCTTCTGAAATGATCACGATATATTCAGAAGCTATGAAACAAGTGGTTTCTAAAGAAAAACGAAGGACCGAGTGAATCCTTGAATAACTAAGAATATTATTTACTCCATCGAAATTACAAGAATCAAAGAATCTTAACTGCAAAGGCTTCCGAGTGACTCAGTCAGCTAATTAGGAGCCAACCGATCTATCAAGCGTTCGTTAACCGAACACCGCACCGAGCGCGGTACGATTCATTCCCGTTCCATGCTCCCCAAACCTCAATAACCGAAACGTCGCCGTAACACGGAACGAAAGCCGGAAAAAAGAGGGTAGAAAACTACGAGCCGGCGTCGCGATAATGGCGAAGGGACCGGACACCGCTCGGAGGCCCCGATTAACTGTAACCAGCGCGCGCGCGATTCGGCTCGATTAATCGGAAAGGGTACGAGATCAGACGGAGCGGCGCGTATCGAGCGGATAAACCCGGTCTCGGCCGCGCAAATATTTTCATTCTCCTGGTCCCCTCTCGAATCACGAAGGGATCGGTGGATTTAAAGCGGCCGCGCGGGATCGACCGGTCGAATTTTATTTATTTTCACCTTTGCGCCCGCCGAAGGGGGCAGCGATCGAGCGAGCGGGCGAGCGAGCGGTCCGCTCCGAAAAATGGTAAATAAATCATAAAACGCTCGGAATCCCGGCCGAGATAGCCGCCGAGTAAACAGCCGCGTTCACCGTTCCGATGATTTTGCGGAGAAATCGCCCGCCGCTCCCGGTTATTTAAAATATCATCCCCCGTTCCAGCGAGGGACGGGCCGGGGGACGGGGACAGCTTCCGCCGATCACCGGGAGACCGGGAATACGCGCGGCGTATCGCGAATTAACGCAGCAATGACGATATTACGCGCCGTTTAAATATTAACGAACCCGATCCGCCGCTGGATAGACGCGCAACGTCCACGTGCACGCGCACACGAGAGCCCGCCGCGTCGGCCCACGTAC